TCCAACTTTGTTTGTATTTCTGCATCAGGCTCTGAAGCACGGACTGAACCTGGATTCAAACCTGCCTGTGTGCAAGATGAGCACAGTGGGCTTGCTCGAGTATACACCACAGAGGAGCTTACCTTAAATGAGAGGCTGGTATTTCCAGTGTCCTCCATGCACACTGGGAAGATCCCACAAACGCTGTCTCTACATCTGGAACTAACATTGCAGATGCCTTCAATGCACTAAATAAGCAGGGAACAGAATCAACTCAAAGGAAGTCAGAGGTACCCCCCCTACACTCTCCTGAGTTTTGAGCCAAGGTCTTGGAAGCAGATGAATCCTCCCCAGGGCTCTGGACTGAGGAGCTCTGGTTTTCCCCAACCCTGCAGCACAAATTCACTTGAAAGTTCCTGAAAGCAGGAAGGAAAAGGGTGGCTGCTCCAGCCTGTTCAGCCAGGGAGCAGAAAAAGTGCGTTCAGAGTTGTAGGAGCAAAATGAAAGCTGACAGAAAGGCTTCCAAACAGGATCAAGTAGGTCTGAGGCCCTTCCAAACTATGGCAGTATTGATGCCTCTCAGGAAGTGAAAGGGATGAAAGAGTTTGGAAGAAATGGTATGGAAGCAGCTCTGGTACTAAAAATCTGCCTTTGCTTTGGGAATAAGAGTATATGTTTCTTATAAAAGCTTAAACAGGGGAAATTTAGACTGGATATAAGAAGTTCTTTCCTGTTAGGGTGTTGAGGCACTGAATGGGTTGCCCAGGGAGGTTGTGAATGCTCCATCCCTGGTGGTGTTCAAGGCCAGGTTGGACAGAGCCTTGGGTGCCATGGTTTAGTGTGAGGTGTCCCTGCCCATGGCAGGGGGGTTGGAAGTGGATGATCTTATGGTCCTTTCCAACCCTAACTGTTCTGTGGTTCTGTGATCTCCCTGACACAGCCTGGCTGTGTAGGGTAGAGTGCAATATGCACAGTGTAAGCCAGGAAAACATTGATTAAACCAACTGTTTTGCCAGCTGGAGTTGAAGAATACCAGACAGGGACGAACAGAAGGGATCCTTCAACCTATTCTTTCATCCAACAGGACACAGGTACTTTTGTACTGGAAAGAGAAGTGAATCAGAGTTTTAAATTTTACTGAAGAGCAAGTAAGAAATGATTGGTTGAGTGAAACCTTAGAACTTAATTAGCTTAAATGTGGAACATCAAACAAGGAACAGGTGAATAGGTACTTCTGCAAAGAAATGAAGATAGGAAACAGACTGAATATGTTCTGAAACTGGTTTGTATCGTTTTAAATGTTGGCTAAAATTATCTAGTATTTTAGTACTGACAAGCCAATATTTTGAGTATTGCCCTCTCTATAAAAAATGAATTACTTTGAGAAATCTGCTAAGAATAAGGATGCATTCATTGGGCTTCCTTTCACTGAGTTTTAGGAGAAACACACAAGAAAATTCAAGCTAAGAACTGCCACTTTTGATACACACAGTAAAGTGCAGAAATTGATACTACACACAACAGCAGTCCAAGGTACCACATAAAGATAAATGATGGAGGTAATGCATAAAAAAATGTTGTCCAGATACTACCTTATTCTGATATACCATTATTTCAATGCCTGCAGTAGTGTTCCTGAAGTGCCTTTTCCATTTATTTTACCTCTGATTGGCAACACTCTACATGTTTTTAAACTCATTCATCCAACAAAGCCTAGACAGTCGGCTGAATGCTGCACTGAATTTAGCCATCCTGACAAGAGTAGGGTCAGGCATTCAACAACCCCAGCCCAGGGAGGCTTATTATAGCAAATTGATGAGAGCAGATGTTGCTCCAAGCCTTGCAAGACGACGTGTTGCGTTTGGCACAGTGGAGTTAAGCAGCTACAGCGGTACTTAAATTTTCTCACAGCTGCATAAAGTAGTAATTATATTGGTCTGACTACATGCTAAAAATGTACAAGTGAAGCTAAGCTAGCGTGATTAAAGGATCTGAAACCTTGGACAAGTCCTTGACCTTAATGTACTGGGTAAACAGCAGGATCTTAGAACACCCCTTTGTTTTTAGCGGCTTGGGGAATAGGTGCCTAAGCACTGCTTTTAAAGTCTTCTTTCTGAAAATAATTAGGGGGTGCTTTTATCAAGAATGTCAGATTTCATGTATTAACCCTATATTTATCAAATAAAGTACCAGGAAACGAAGAAGAGTACACAAGAATTCTATAGATATAATTTACATCAAAGGCATTTAATTATGGAAAAATATTACGTGTAAAATTATTGTTATTTGCCCAAACTGACTGGAATTATGATTTAAATCATAATTCATCATCTCAGCGGGTATGGAAAGCAAAATTTCACGTGTAACAATTAAGGTTGCACTCAAATCTAGGAAAAGGTTGCTAGCAAAGACAACCTGCTGTTACTTTGGCTAAAAGGAGAGGCTTCTGGTCATCTGCTGCACTAAAAGATGGATCTTTATCGGTTTATGAACAGCTACATGACATGGTTGACTCTGGGATGAGGAGGTGGGAAACGGCCTCAGGAGGATGCTCCTGGTCATGTAATCCTCAGATAATACTAACACTCTAATAATTATATTTAGTCAATCAAATATCACACTGAAGATGTCCCTGTTGAATGAAAATAACCTCCAGTCTGACACGTTTTTGGGAGTCAGGACGTTTTTAACAGCCAGTTTGTTGTTTAAGATCAATGAAATATATTTAATGGTTGTGCAGTCACCAGAATTAAAGCGTAAATACAAGACATCAGACATAATTCTCTATGGAAGATCTCATCACTGAAACCCGAGGGAATCATTAGCCTCAGTTTTTAACTTTTTGGTGCAGAATGGTCCATGTTATCAGTCGCATTATGTTTTAGATCAGTAGTTGCAGCTATTCCTAATAGTGTGGTTGCACTTCTTGCCTGTCTGGTTTAGAAGCAGCAAGCTACTTCCCCTATTATGATGTTTGTGCATCATAATAGTTTTGCTGCTCTCAAATAAGTAGAGACTTGGCCAGGAACATCAGCTAAATTGCTTGAAAATGGTATCTTTAAAGAATTTTAAACATATCTACCTTTAGTAAGGATGCACATGCATATTACTTGAAAAAACATTAGCACTCATTGTTTGAAAAGATCCTACACAGAAGAATTATACTGCTCTGCCCTGAGTGCAAGCAGAACAAAAGGGTCTTCAGGATGCCTTTTTTTTCAGGTAAATAAGCTGCAACAGGCAGATGGCATTTAGAATCATAGAACAGTAAGGGTTGGAAAGGACCTTAAGATCCTCCAGTTCCAACTGGTTAGTTTCAGTTCCACATGCCATAAGAGCAAAATAAGATTTTAGCTCTGTTACATAAGTGGTTTTGTTAAAAAATAATCCAATCTCACAAATGCAAATTAAAGCTTAGAAGAGCAGGGTTTTTTTCCCTGTCAGTTAAGCCTATTCTTAAACTTTCCTCATGCCAAAGTAACTCTTCACTCTCATCTTGAAGCAAAGTTTGTAAAATGTCACTTACAATAAAGTCAAGTTTTCTATGTGTTAATCTACCTAACTTCTACTAAAAATATGGATATAGCTAGTAAGAGTCGGATGCTATTGGTTCATTGGGTGGAACGGCATCCTACTTTGGCTTTGCTTATATTTTAATCAGAAATGAGTCTACTAATGGCAATGGGTACAACATGACAGAGCTGAACTATAAATATTTCATTGCTAGTTGCTTCCCATTTCGATCCAATGCATTTTCAGACGCCAGCTCATCGTTATTATGAAACAGATTATGAAACTGCCTGTATCTTGAACCACCATTGTTTTTCACACTTTTGCTTCTCCCATTCTCTCCCCCATCTCCTGGGGGTTGGAGGTGGGTGGGGTGTGAGCGAGTGGCTGGTGGGTACTCAGTTGCTGGCCACAATATAGAACAAATAAATATGTGCGCACACGCATTTTACTAGAGCTGGTGAAAAAGATTAAGCTTTTTGGAAGCTCTGATTGACTTATCTTAAATAATTCTACAGTTACTAAGTAACATCATAAGCAGATATGCAGACCTTTAACAGAAGTGTTTGTGTTGATTTTAGTGGAAGAACTCCATCAAAGCTGCTGTGAAAGGGTGAGTGAAAAAGCTTAAACCTCCCACCAAGGCATTGGCAGGTCAGGCTCTTTGTTCATTCTGCCCTTCTCCATGCAAAGTCCAAACGGAAGAAGCAGAAGCAGGACTGCTTTTGCAGGGAAAGCACTCAGCTGGGTGCAGGCTGCCTATCAGGGATGGAAACTGAATCGCCTGTTTGACCAGAGTTACAGACTTTTACTAGCCTACAATTTCACATCATTTATATATAGCTTGTAACTGCTTCAACTACCCTCTTTTATTGCGCAGTGAAAAGTGAGTGGGTAATTTCACACTTGCTCCTGGATATTAGGTTTATTACACCAAGCTCTGTCTTAGAGTATACTTTGAGAGCAATCATATATTTTGGAAGAACAGGGTTTTGTAACAGAGCTAGTAGCAGGCCTTTATTATAGATATGAGTTACCATCTCAGAATAGTAGAGGCTTTTTCACCGTAATTGGTATTGATTATCTTCCATCCACGTGTACTGTCACTTATCAGTACAGATGCCCTGGAAAGCTGCTTTTATGATGTGCCTGTGTATAGTACTGTAACTTCCTTTGTGGTAAAAGCAAGGTGATTATCACCTACGGTCACATCAGACCAGTCACAGAAGCTAATCACAGGTCTAGACATCCAGTGTGGAAGTCAGGGGAGGCAGGGATTATTAGCTCACAAATGGAGACAGGTAAGATTCTGCCTTAAAGGAAAACCAAATCAAAATGTAAAAACCCACCCCAAACCCACCCCACCTTCCCCCAAACAATAACAACAAAAAAACACACCCCAAAACAATGAACCAACCAACCAAAACAACAAAAAACCCACCCCAAGAGGAAAACAAAGAGCTCCTTCAGCAGCTCCAACAAGGGCTCTACCAGGAACACCAACAGGGGCTGTTGGTGGATCAGGAGGGGATAGCAGGAGGAACAGCTTTAAGTGCTCTTACTCATCTTTTGTGGCCACAGGAAGTTCTCAAGTCGGTTCAGGTGAGCCTTAGCTATGCCACTGCACTGAAGTGTGTTGATAAGGCCAAACAGTTGATTGAAGAGGGGAGGAAAGGAAGCGATGTCATGCTTTCCAAGGAAAGAAAGGACCAAGACGGATGCAACTTACTCTGGTCCACAGCATCACATTCCTACAAATAGAAAGCAATACTGAAGCTATTATTGTCCGCATTCAGGCAAGATGAAAGAGTTGAAAATAATGAGCTACCTATCTGAACATGTAAAAAAGGAAGTAAAGCATAGTGTAATGTATGATTGTCAGACATTTCAGCTAGGCCTGAAACAGGGATAACGTGTTCTGCAAACTACCCATCAAACCTATCGTACTTAATTCCATCTGACAGATCAAATGGCTGATCTTCAGTGCATGTAAAATATCCAGATACCCAGCATCTCAAGACAACCCAGGCCAGTTTTTAGGAATAAAGAGCCTGAGCCTAGCACTGATGTAAATCACTGCCTTCTTTTATTCTGCCAAAATGACACGTTTGCATGGCTTGAAACATGAAAACGAGAGCAAGACTGTGTGCAGATAGCTAGGCAAAGAAAGTGGGGTTAAGATGAACAGAAGAAGGTTGCAAACAGCCAGCTTTAGGATAACAGAAGCTGCTGAGGGAACACAAGGCAGTCAAAATTTACGTTACTTTTCTAACACAGAACAACATAGTCAAAAAGCAATTAAAGGTACATGAGGCAGTGATCAACTGACTTAATTGTTCACCAACAGCCTGAGCCTGGATTGTCAGCTGTGATCATGTAGCTGTGGCTTAGGCAAGACATAGTGCAAGACATATGTATATATGCTTTAAAACTGAGACGGTGACATAAGGGCTAAAAGAAGCTCACAAAGAGTCAGAAAAGAGAAGCATCATAGTGGGTGCCATACCTGGAGAGAATGATGCATTCATTTTGAAAAGCTAATGTTACAAACAAAAAAACATTTAGAAAAAGATTTGTGGGGAGTTTATAGTTATTAATCATTTATAGGACAACCAGTATCTAGAGCAGTAAAGACAGATCAGAATCAAATGATGCAGAGCGGGTAGAACTTGTATCATGGTGAATTCTTTTTCAGGAAAGCAAAAATTTCAGTGCAACAGAAAAAAGGGAGATGTAACTGGCTTAGCAGCATTAAATCCTGTGTATGGACTCAGCTTTGTTTGCATGTCAACAGCCACATAACCTCTATTATTGCAAAGAGAAAGCAGCTAGCAGGCAATCTCATTTGTAACATCAATTAGTAATGTTACTATCAGGCCAGGTAACACTAATACTCCAGTTCTATCTACCTCTTAAAATGACTATTTGCATATAGACAGGCATTTATTTGCAGGAAAAACATAGAATATAATTTCAGTGAAAGCAACACAACTGTGGTTCATCTGGACTAAAAGGATTGCAATATAAATAGCTTCCTATGATAACACCTCAAAGTGAATGAGTTCCAAGGTCTGACAATAAATGATGTACACCTTTAGTGCCTTGCTCAGTGCCAGACTTCGTATCCCTTATGAGAAACAGTTGTGAGCTATAAGCACTCAAAACTTTACTGACATTTAGTTTAATGGAAGGAAATTACATTGCTTTCAATCAGCTCAGGAATATTCTGCTCTTAAATTGACTGTTAATTCCTAATGCAAGCCTGCTATCAGCCCATGCTGCTGTGATAGAAACCGCCTCTTCATTTGAAAGTCCCTCTGTTTTTCCACCAGAGGTGCCATAAACTGGTGCAGATTTCTTTTGTTCAATCACAAATGACAATAGGATTCTTTTCTAATACTCTTTGTACTCTAAAAGGCCCCTTCTGTGCTGCAGTGAAGTGCTACAACAAAACCATGAAAATAACCTACTAATACCTCCGAAGCTTTGCCAGATTTATCTTCTTATGCTTGGTTGTGGGATGCTTAATTCATGCTATTTTGAGGAAATTACTTTTCCTGTATTTCTTTATAATTTTCAAGTTAGCTGCTGGCTATCAAATTTCCCTTTCTAACAGAAATTAATACGTAATAGATGTCTTCACCTCCCATTATACTGTATCAGGGTGCTTTCTTTTCTCTCTAGAGAGGGGGAAAGATGAACCTACAATTTAGAGGGTTTGACATTTTAGGTTGATTATAATTGTGTAACCAGTTTTAAGGAGGTATTCCTTGAACTTACCTATCAGGTTTGTAGGTTGACTTTCACTGCATCACCAACAGGATGCTTTCAAGAACAAATCAGACAGCTGATCCACAAGTAATTAAGGCAAGTGATATCCCAAGCCAGAGATTGAGAGTGCTCAGTCACAGTGTTAAGAGTATTACTGGCTTTAAGACGTTGAAAGCCCATCTGTGCCAGACTTCATCCATGCTACTTTTCATGCCACACACAGCACAGTCTTTTATAATGGGTTTCAAGAAACTTGGTGATTTCCTGTTTATATGCAACTGCTTTTAATCCTCAATAATACAATATCGTAAGATACCAGTTTTTGTGTTTTTTTTTGTTGTTGTTGTTTTGTTCTTTTTTGTTTTTTTTTTTTTTTTTATTTGGTTTTGGGGTATTTTACTTATTTATTTATTTAAGCAGCAGGAGGTTTAGGATCACCCTTTGTTCAGTTTTGATATGATCTGTTCTCATCCAACAGCTTCGATGCCTTAGAGAATTCCTCACACAGATAATTTCTGGATCGCTGCCTTTCACCTCAATTGTGACAACATCCCTGGTTCACAGAACAGCTGTTTTTCTTTAGCATGGAAAGGGGTGCCTGCAAAATTATACAGGAAACAGCTAGGCTGGAGGGTTGGTTTTATTTAGCTTAACACCATATATGTTGAATGCCTTCATGTCTGATCATTCGCTGGGATGTTTCCTTTGAAGAGGTCTTGATTTTGTTATGGGGTGTTCCAGATGTGAATTACACCTCTATGGGGTGATTGGAAGAGATGTTGCCTGGACCTTCCTAGGCTGTGTTCTGCACCCCTGCCTGTACCTGAGTAGGACCAGTGAGACGTGGAGCTACCTTATGCCTGTTTAACAGCACAAAGATTCGTTTGTCTAGAAAGATATTAAATTGCCCTATAAACCATTGCTATCATAAAGTGAGTTACAAGAACCTAAGATACACTGTTAAAATCACATTTCTGGGGGACATAAATGTTAAAACATCCTGGTTCACAGTTTGGATTTTAGGGCCAAATTTTCAAGAGTGTGATCTATCTTTAAAGCATCATTTCCTTGTGCAACATCCTGCTTACAGGATGCAAGTAGAAAAGGTGGAACTGGATTCTTTTACCTTTCTCTGATTTCCTGTCATAAAAAAAAAACAGGTTTTCAATCAACAGCTTAATGTCTGACAACCCTTTATCTTGCTGCTAGCACTTAGCTTAATGACAGGTTCATCTTCCGAAAGCTGAGATCTGACACAGCCCTATTGCAGGAAATCAGAAAACAAATAGCATGCTAATCAGTTCACACGTGGCCTCATCATTCCTCACCACTGCTTGCTGAAAGTAGGACCAGGAATTTTTCCATCAGGTCCAACCAACATTCCATGTACTCTTCAGCAGGAGTCAACAACGGGGGAAAAGCAAATAAACCAGGATGCAAGCAGCCAACACACGCTCAGCAAACTTGCAGTGAAAGGAGGAAGAATGGGCTGCAAGGGGATAACTTTTCCCCCCCAATTTTTTGAGGCATCAGTGTGCATCCTGAAGCACGAAGTCTGACAGCACCAAGAAGTTGTTAGCTCTCCAGTTTAACTACAAGCATTACTCATGCTGTGCCTTATCATTTAGACTTGTATTAACATATAGCTTTATTTACTGCTCTCTGACATCCTATTTCTCCTAGCACAACACAGAAACGTTGGGCAAGTTGAATTATAGGAACTATAACACCACAATGCTATTTTTCCAATTGTATATACATTAACATTCTGATGCCTTTCTTTTGGGAATGAAATCTGTAACGCTAGAGGCCTGGTCTTTATCCACAGCAAAGCCATCTATTTAGATCACTTCTCCCCCTTTAATCTTTGAGGATGTACGTAGGGGTGGAATTTTGAGACATCTGCACTAAAAGTGGTTCTGTCTCCTTGATGCTCGAGGGAATGTGAGAACAATCCAATTCAAGAAAAGTTGCTTGTTTTTTGCTCTGAATAAGAAGCTGCTGCAATGAACAGTGAGCTGCTTGAAAAATAGCTTGGGAGCTATTCTAATGAAAAGGCATAAATACAAACACACCTTCACGGGAGCAATGTAATTAGTCTTCTTGTCAAAGGCATGACTTGCAATATCACAGTGCAAACGGCTAGTGCCAAATCCAAGAAGCATTAATCCCAAGTTGATCTGATCACTGGAATAATACCATCAACACGTAAGATGAGCTTCATCATCATTCACGAGCTAAAAGATAGGTGGAAGTATTTGTGGTTCCGCATACAAATATCCTTTCCAAAACACTTGGTGACTGGGTTGTGTACACAAAACACATGCTCCTGAAGCTGGTGTCTCACACAGCCAGTGTCAAAGGCAGCCCAGATGTAATTGTCTTGCTCTGAACTGCTGCACTGGTTTCAAAATGAAGACGTTAAAACCTGTAGTCAATCTCTATAACTGCAAGGAAACTTTCCACTGAGATATGAGGTATGGTACATTTTAACCAGCATATTAGCCTGGAGAAGAGAAGGCTGCATGGAGACCTCAGAGCAGCCTTCCAGTATCTGAAGGGGGGCTATAGGGATGCTGGGGAGGAACTATTCATTAGGGACTGTAGTGACAGGACAAGGGGTAACGGGTTAAAACTTAAACAGGGGAAGGTTAGATTGGATACAAGAAAGAAGTTTGTTACTATAAGGGTGCTGAGGCACTGAAATGGGTTGCCCAGGGAAGCTGTGAATGCTCCATCCCTGGCAGTGTTCAAGGCCAGGTTGGACAGAGCCTTGGGTGAGATGGTTTAGTGTGAGGTGTCCCTGCCCATGGCAGGGGGGCTGGAAGTGGATGATCTTAAGGTCCTTTCCAACCCTGACTATTCTATGATTCTATGATATTTACAATTCTAAAGGGTAAGAGTCTTAGGAGAGTAGCTTTTTAATAGACACACCAACATCTGTGTGCTTGAGGGAAAAGTGTTAAAGGTTCCCTGAATCACCGCCATGATGAGAATCCCCAGTAAGAGCTAACCACACGTTTCTGTTTTGGTGTGCAGTGAATGTGAGTCAAACGAACAGAGGGTTATGTGAAAACAAGTGTGCGATAACAGCAGGAGTACATACTTATTGCTGGCAGATTTAGAGATGGTTCCAGGGAAGCTACTACCTGTTGTAATGCTCAGTGCTATTTATGCATTAAAACCTAAGCACACCAGTTTAACGTTAAATGGGTTAATTCTCCCTGTGCAACCAAATGTCACTTAGGGTGTACGTGAGTTCCCGTAACTGCCTTGCACCTTAGGCTGCTCTTTGCTTGATCTTGTTATTTTGAGTCTTCCCTGTGTGGCATTTATCAGAACAGCTTTCTTTTACTGTATCCCCTCTTCCGTGTGCCTCTGGCTGTCAAATGACAAAGCGAAAACTTGTGGTTTAGTGACACTGTTGCTTGGGCACACAAATGCAGATACCCCAGGGAAAATCTTTGATTCCTTACTCATTTAAAAGCTGCCTCAGAACCTGAAATAAGGCTTTGCACGCTGTCAGAAAGGAAAACACAAAATCATTTACTATACCCACTCCAACAGCATTTTAAGGCCATCTGGGGGGGTGTGAGGGGCAAGGAACCTTTTGACAATAGCAAGATCAATCCATCCCCCAAGAAACTGACCCTGTAATGTGTCTAAAGCAAGCAAGATACAGTGCTTGGTGTCTGCTCACATCAACCTCTTTTTTTTTGAGGTTTGTTTTGCCTTAATCTCTTGGTAGTCAGCCCGCAGAGCTCTAGCGAAGAAACTGCTTGCTACCATGGTGGCACAGCAGCGAGTCACTAGGGAGCCCACAGGCAGCTGTGTAAAACCATAACTCAAGAGAGCAGCACAGGACGCTGCCATGGCTGCTGCATAGGTACTTGTGTGGTTCTCACTACCTGTGTTAGCCATCATGAAGAGGTAACAGGGCTTGGAAAGGAAGGATAAATATTTTACTTAAAATTAGGTAGGTTGAATCACTTTTGATGGCATTTGCACAATCTTTCGTGTTTCTGAAAGCACACTGCTTGGTTACAAGATAAACACTGCAAACACAGAGCGAATGTCAGGAGGGAAATAAGGGATTGCAATACTGTACCTCGGGAGCATGGGGATACTCTCCATCTTCAAAAAGGAAAAGGACTGCGTTTGTCATCTAGGTCATCTGGTTTGCACTGGGGATGGAAGTCTCTGTTCTGAAGTACAGTACCTTGCAGAGCCTGCTTTTTTGCATGTAGCCTTTTTTTCCCTATGCTTATCTAGGCACAGAAAGAACAGAAACTGATCCCTCAAGGAAGACCAGTTTTGGTGTGCTTTTGTGACCATTCACTTGCTCCTTAGAGAAGGGAAAATGCCAGCTACCCTGAAACCTGCCCTTCTGGTTTGGTTAGTCTAGTTAAGCATTGCTGTGTTCCTGCTTACAGTGTAAATCATGAGTAAGTGTAAAGCCTGACCTTTCCCCAGTAACATGAAATGGGTTTCCAATCAGGTGCACTGTGTCCATAAGACAAAATGTGACTTTGTCTGGGGGCAGGCATCTATTTTGCATTTATATAAAGCCAAAAGCTGGCTGTGTGCATGGAGTATTTTCACTTTTATTCTAGCACCGTTTCGCAGGTGTTTATCAGAAAGTATGAAACCAAACAATGAAACACATTTGTTCCTGGGGCTCTGTGCCTCCAGAACGAAGAGCTGCTTGTGGTCCTAATGAAAAAGCCCTCAAGGAAAAAAGCGCATGAAATTTAGGCACTTAATTATATCTGCCTGTCATTAAATGGTAAAGGCTCTCTGAATGACTGCTCAAAAGGTTAGCAACTGACATTTGAAGTTAATGCTTAGCTTCAGTATGCCCCCTGATGTCATGGCACAAAGAAAAAACTACAGAAACCAGCTGCAAACACCCCTTTCAAAAGGAATTCTAGCTACTTTTACAAACCTATGGAGAGAAAAGGTCACTTCAGCTGTGGAGCCCTGCACTTTCTGAGGTGATGCATCCTGGGCATGTCATAGAATCATAGAATAGTTAGGGTTGGAAAGGACCTTAAGATCATCCAGTTCCAACCCCCCTGCAGGGACACCTCACACTAAACCACTGCACCCAAGGCTCTGTCCAACCTGGCCTTGAGCACCGCCAGGGATGGGGCATTCACAGCCTCCCTGGGCAACCCATTCCAGTGCCTCACCACCCTCACAGGAAAGAACTTCTTCCTTATATCCAATCTAAACTTCCCCTGTTTAAGTTTGAACCCGTTACCCCTTGTCCTGTCACTACAGTCCCTAATGAAGAGTCCCTCCCCAGCATCCCTATAGCCCCCCTTCAGATACTGGAAGGCTGCTATGAGGTCTCCACGCAGCCTTCTCTTCTCCAGGCTGAACAGCCCCAACTTCCTCAGCCTGTCTTCATACGGGAGGTGCTCCAGTCCCCTGAGCATCCTCGTGGCCCTTCTCTGGACTTGTTCCAACAGTTCCATGTCCTTTTTATGTTGAGGACACCAGAACTGCACACAATGCTCCAGGTGAGGTCTCACAAGAGCAGAATAGAGGGGCAGGATCACCTCCTTCGACCTGCTGGTCACGTTCCTTTTGATGCAGCCCAGGATACGGTTGCTTTCTGGGCTGCAAAAGTGTGCTCACAGTGACATCGTATCAGCTTCCTTACCCCCATGCAGGGCAATGTTACAGACCATTTCTGCCATGTGTTGACATTAATAGGCACCATCAAACACTTGAACTCTGTTTTGTGGTTTTGGGAAACTCAAGAAACAAGAACATGAAATTACCCTTCATTTTCTGCTTCTCAAAAGTCTTGAGGCTGGGTGTTAACTGGACCCTCCAGAAGACTGCGAGATGAACAGAATATGAATTTATTAAAAAAAATTATAAAAAAATAGGAATAGTTTTAATGTTTTTTTATGAAAAACTTTAGGAACTTTATGAAAGTTTACATAATAATTTCTCATAGACAACGCTAGTTCAACATCCAAATTACAGCTCACCTTGTCATTCTTCAAGAGCTATCATGCATAGGTTTTCAACACAAATAAAACATGTTGTGTCTTTCCTTTCCTCTCTTCTTCTTTAAAAACTAAAGGTTTGTACTGCGTTTTGGAAGGTATACATGATACATCCTTTTCCTGCATTGCACTACATTGTAGAATTCATTTATTAAGCTTCTATAGGTAGCTTTAGCTCAGGAAGTGACCAAAAGGAGTTTAAGCGCTCTTCACCTGAAAATCCTCAGGAGAGTGTGCAGTTTTGAGTGAAAAACTTGGAAAAATGGACGCTAGTGATAGCAGTGATGCTCTACTTGAAAAGACTGCAGTATAAAGAGGTAGTGTAAAGCTGCCACAGCAAAATGCATCCATTTTTCAAACTTCAATAGGCTCCATGCACAACTGAAGTGTTATTCTGTCTTAATTCAGACAGCGGAAAGAATATTTGTCTTACCTGCAAGAGTCCTTTGAAGGTATTACCACCAAGATAAAGGCAAATTCAGGGGATGTAGTCATATTTACATTTTCTAAAAGGCATTTGGCGAGGTATTTCAATCAAAGAACAGAAGATACAATAAAATATGGGATAGAAAAGCTGTCTGAAGTACAAAAGGAAAAGCTGCACAACCACAAGCTCTTCCGTTTGGCAGAGGATGCCAATAACTCTTTCTACCCTCTGGAGGGGCAGTTCTAGGAGCTACTTAGAGATTGCCCACAGAAGAATAAACTGCAGTTTAGGTGAATGAGAGATGTTATGAGAAACAAATAACCAGCAAGAGAGTCACGCAAATCAGATGACTTTTCAAAGTAAAACTTTAGCACTTCTAGCCGGTGGATGGTGACTCAGGAAACCTTTATTTGCCCCATTTATGAACCATAAGTGAATTCGTATATTCTGTATGTTCTAAACTCTTAATGTTACTGCATCCTTATCTCATCTTCCTTTGGGGAGAACTAACAGCTTGTCATAAATAAAGCAGGATTAAGTAAGGACTGCAAGCACTGGGCTAAAGAAAATGCAAAGCTTATACTTTCAGGCAATTAAATACCAAGGTAAAGAAGCTATGCAAAAGACTAACAAGCTTAACCAATGCTTGGAAAAGCAGAGAACTACATGAAGACAAGAGCAATCCAACTGGTTAAGTTGCTGAGAAGCAACATTCCCAGAAGAAATGCTTAAGCAAATACTACAATGAACAGAAAAGGTGGGCATTTGCCAAACTGAAAGACAGATGCTGAATCACAAAGAACTTAACTTGTAACTTAATTCAGTTGTAATTGCTGATCAATTTATTAACTATGTAGGGAGAAAGAATCTGCTCTAGAGAAGAAAGAAATATGAAAAGAGAAGTTCATGTTTAATATTAAGGAACTTGTTTGTAAATCTCTAAAGAAAGGAAAAAAGTATCAAAAATACTAGGTGAGCTGAAAGGGAAAAAAGAGAAGAGCATTACTCACCTTGCAAAGACCATCACAGGAGGTGGGGGTGATGTGCTTTCCTGGTTGAATTGATTTCAGTTTTGCTATTGAAAACAGATTTCAGAACATCCACACAACGACATCCCTGTGTGATCATACTTCTGGCTGCCAGCTTTTGCAAGGCTTGAGATGCGTCCAAGCATCTGATACTTACATAAACTGTGGTCAGAGATCCTTAATAAGCCAAACAGATATTGCCCAGAGCACTGTGGTAAAACCCCAAACAAAACTAACTTCCCCAAAATGGAGGGACTTGAATGGGAAATCAAACGAAGCAACAGATAAACGGGTGTCACCACAGAGATGCAGAGGACGTCGCTGTGAAACTGAGGACAGGCAAAAAGGGAGAATTGGAAGAAACAGGATCTGCCAAAGATGCAGTTAACAGTGAGACAGAGAGGAGACTCCATGGTGTAGGAGAAAAGCCTGACCTTCTGGAGTAATATATAAGGGAGAGGATAGAGGGGGGAATGAAGATGAGTGTGAGAAGACATCAAAGCGTACCCTGCAGCACACTTGGAAGTGGTGAGGGAGCCATGGCAGGACGGTGCACTCTTTAATTCCCACCATCAAAGAGCTGGAAAGAAAACAAACATTTTGGAAATCCCGTGGAAAAATCCCTCTTCTTCAGCTATCACATGTGTCCAAAGACATAAAGCACAAAGGAGCCACAGGTTTCCTTGAAAAGACAGTGCTTGCCACTCTGGAAACTCCAGCGTGGAATAGGTCCCACTTTCAGAAGGAAACGCCAATAGATGACCACGTGTCCCAGAGCACACCAGGATGCCAAAGACTCGTACTCATGGAGGCGTAGCTCTGCATAGCTCCACAGTGGTAACACAGCACAAATCCAAACACTGCAGCACGCTCCAGCTGCTGGGGATGAGGCAGAAGGGGATAGGGGGTGCAATGCTGCACAGCCTGTGAGCGAACAGCACAATGAATTGTGATACGAGAACTGATCTGATGAGAATTACAGACTTCAGCTTAATATAAACTTGTGATGCTAGAAAACAAATAAAACATGAAACAGTTTCCTGTCCTTTTATCACTACACAGTAAAGGGTAGGAATTACAACACGCAAGGCACTATGTCTTCATTTCTGATTATTCATAATAACTCTATCAAGCCCCTTCTTGGAAAATAGTAGAATGATTTGGTAAAGAGCATGATGTGACCGACAGGCGGAATGAGGTAGCCAAAAAATGAATATGCTAAGCAAGTTTTAAACTAGTTGATAAGGAAAATTCAATTGTTAAGATGGCAATTAGACATTTAATAAGGAAAAGTCTTATGACTTCTTTTTCCCTCGAGACAAGACAGAATTGGAAATCAGGATGGAAAGAATGATGCTATGTATCACAAAGGGATAACTTGACCAAGCAGCAATTTTCTGTTCCTTAAATATGGCAGAAACAAGCAGATGTCCTTTTTCACACTATTACAAATCTGTTTCTGAGAACAAGCACTTTGCCATCTGAAGGAGCACTGTACCATACAGTTTTGTGATGCAAATTCCTGCAAACAGCAGATGTTTATTTAACCCTTGCCCCTTGGTCTAATGCTGCAAATTCTTGATGCAGGAGTTCTCCTTGGAAACCAAACGCTGGGCTCAGGCTTAGGCTCAGGATCTTAAAAAGGCTTGCATTTGTTCTCCTTCTGACCACTGTTTCTATGAACTAAGGAAGGTGATTTTCCTAAGAGCATTTAACAAATAACTTGCCTTTAAACTCCTAGTGTCTCCTATTCCTAGCAACCTACAATTCCTAACATTATTACTACTTCAAAGCAAACACTGGTTTCTGTATTCCAGGTATAGGAGAAGGAAGGTCTACAGCTTTAGAACTGGTCACTGTCTGTTTCATTCCAAGCAAACTTGAGGTTTAGCAAAAAATGTATAATTCTTTCAGGTGTTATTAACTTGTATAGTGCATTTGGATAAGAGGTTACTGCAGCTGATTCCAGAATCCTAAAACTTATCTAAAACACCCTGAATTGAGATAAAACAGAAAAAACACCTGAAATGTAGCATGATTGTTTCAGTCAGGACAGTTTATTTCAAAATAGACCGATTTTGAGATTTTTCTGTTTTTTTAATAAAGTGGGTTCAAATAAAGAATCTTTAACTGGCAGTTGGTAACCCCATAGGTGCCACAGGCTAGTACCATGTATCCCACGATCCATCCAACCACCTTGCGTTTTATCCACTTTTCCAGGAGACAGGGATGGAATGCAGCCCAGAAAACAAACAAAGAACTCCATCCAGTGTTCAGTTGTCAAATCCAGATTGAGTTCAGCAGAACTTTCCAAAGACAAACCACAGATGACCTGAAAACTGGATAATCTTCACCTAACAGCTCACCAGGGACTGCAGATTTGCCAGTTCCTTTTGATGTCTCTCAATTGACTCTCTTAAGGTGATGCTTTCTGTCATTTGAGCAGGTTGGACAGAGCTTTGGGTGCCATGGTTTAGTGTGAGGTGCCCCTGCCCATGGCAGAGGGGTTGGAACTGGATGATCTTAAGGTCCTTTCCAATCCTAACTGTTCTATGATTCTATGTTTTAAAGCACAGCACTGTTCTCATATCGAGTTGTTCTCCAGAGTGACTATAAGAAGGGCTTTGTTTTATACAATAGATCCTTCTCTGAATGCGCTCTGTGTAATTCCTGTTAACATCAAATAACAAAAGAGGCATTTTTCAATTGTAGCTGGTAGCTCTAGGAAGCATACACTGCTCAGAGAGAGGCACACTAACATTGCTTACTAAAGCTACAAAAAATCTGAGCTGTTAATTGCACTGAAGGAAGGTAAAAGCCACATGTAAAGACTATGCTAAAATCATACCACCAGAGCAGAGCACTAAGGCAAAGGGTCTGGCTGAGCATCACAGGGACAACAGCTTTTCCTTGCCGCTGCATTTCCTTCAGTACAGCAACCAGAAGTAACTTTTGATGTGAAATTTCTTTTACAAAGTTAATTTTCAGAGGGGAACTGCCCCAGGGTGCAGGTCCCCAACACGGTTTTGTATCTTATGCCTAAGGAAAAGGGACCCCAGCTCTCTCCATGGGCGTGCAATTAGGATGAATGCCTTCACTGCTCCAGTACAGAACAGTTGTCAGTTAAGATATCATTGCCTCTCAGTCACATATCTGTTTGCTGTCACCAGGATGAGGCCCTGGGAACTGAAACCATGACCATGATAGAAAGAGTGGGGTGATTCAAAAGCTAAGGTCAGTATTAGGCTAGGTCCAATAGGAGCATATCATAAAACGGTCAGTGTGCCTGCAGAGATGGAGCAAAACCATTCACTATCATTAGATTGTAAGAGTAAACTTATCCTAGGGAACTAGCTGCCAGCTGTGGCTTGAAAAGAATTGCTAGATGCTTTACTATCTATAGCTACGTATGTACCTATACAACAATACATCTACTCAACAAGAGAGTAAATCACAAACACAAAAAGTCATTCAACATTTGCTTTCTAGATGTACTTTTACTGGCTGTGATTTATTACTGTGGCAACACTGAAGGTAGCTAATGGAGGAACAACTACATTAAAAAGACTGAGCTGATGAACTGAAAGGTTACTTTCCTCCCAGGCCCTAGGGATTTTTGTGCAAGCCCTTAGACCCTCTACTTTCCATGCTAGGGGAATGTATTTGAACTCTCCATGTAAGGTGTGTATCTGGGGGCAACCCAGAGAGAGCAAATCACAGCAATTACCAAATCGTGGTAAATATGGGACCTGATGCCTAACCCTGTGCCACGTTTTCCATTTCTCCTGGATACTGTGTTTAACTGCATTCTTCATGCCTGATCATTTCTTGGAGCTTGTATTAATTTAACATCTTAAGAGAAATTTAAGCAAATAGTTGTCACTAAAACCAAAAGTAAATCCTGAAAGTAGCCCATCACAGATCAGCCCGCTTTTCATATTACCTGAACTACCTCCAGATCCCAGAATGAGTAATATTCAGAGTAGATGAAGTGCCATGACTTGAAGTGTGAGAGATGATAGCCTGGCCATAGCAGGAATGACTGAAACCTGCTGTCAGCCTTCTCATTAAAAAGTCAGGAACTGGGACCATAAATCCTACAAGGAGAGAAAATATGGTACTGTAGAAATGACATGACATTAAAAAACTAGCTGAAGTAGTTCCAAAATGTTTCCAAGAGTGATGTCCCTAACTGGAATCAGATTACTAAGGAAGACAGCATACATCATTTCATAGCTGGTGTACTATAGTCCTGTAGCCCAATAAATGCTGTACTGCCAGTGCTAGCAGCAGTACCAAGTCAGCAGCTTGTCAAATAAGCTTACTTTGTCTCAGCTTCTCTTGAATGCCTGCAACGTCCCAATTTAGCTAGAATAGAATGTTCCTAATGACCAAGTGGTTATATCCGATTTGCATTATTTTTCTTACATTTGAATGGGATAACCACAGCGTTATATAGATATTCTCTGTAGAAGATGTGGTGTGATAGGAGAGGCCTTGAAAAGTGAGGACACAGGACATGGTCTAGAGAAGTGCAGTCATGGGGTGGTTGGTAGATTGCAGGGCATAGGTTGACGTTGCAGGCCATCCCCCAATAAACAACTCATCAATCAGCTCAAGAAATGACTCAGAGCCAAGCAAAACCGCATTTTTTTGGTGCAAAGAGAACAAAACCAATCATCTAACTTGCATGAGATCCACCATATACGGGAAACTTGGCAGTACCATGAACTCATCAGTAAAGAGCAAGCAAGGTGCGTGTTAGAAAACACATAAATATTACTTCAAGAAGTTCCTAAGACGAGGGGAAGAAACCAACAGTACTGTTTTCTTCATGGGTAAAAGATTTGAGCTGCACAAAACCCTCTTCTTTCTGGTACCTTTGATGCTAGAACCCCAAGGGGCATTGGAAGGCTGAGCATGATAACAAGAAAAGTCTCAAGAGACTGGGAAGTATGCGTATGACAACCCTATGTTATTATACTTTTTCTGTAAGCACTTTTTTGTCCTGTAATGACTTAATCTGGGGTAATAAATAATATTTGATTAGAATATAAAGATTTCAAGTGGGCTTAAATTCTTGGCTTTACAGATGACATGTTCCTTTATTTGCCTTTAATAAAAATTGGAAGGTAATGATACAAAGATACAATTCTGCTTACAGAGGCCATTTCATGCCAGGATTTTACATAATTAACATGTGTTATTCACAACAATGATCATTCCCTTCCTTCACCCTTCCAAATGTAAAAGCAGAACAAACCCCACTGTCCTGGTTTAAGCTGAGTCGGTAACTCAGAACCACGCAGCCACTCACTCCCTCCTTTCTTGCCTCCCACTCCCAGTGGGGTGGGGAGGAGAACTGAAGGAATGTAATCACCCGTGTGAGTTTTCTTTCCTAGTACAGTTTCTGTAAGTTCACTGGTCATCGAGCAGTAGTTTCCACGTTTACATTCCTTTGGTTCCCACTTGGTCAAAACTGAGTTTATTTGTTCTTGTTTAGAGCCTTCTGTATGACTTAAGCAACAATAAAGTAAGCAGACTGTATTCTAAATGTTCCTTCTGATGTGACAGAAGTCCATATTTTTCTAATTATCAGTGCAGCATCTTCAAGTAGTTTCCTAAAGATACTCAAGAAACTACTAACCAGTAAAACTGCTGTCAAAATGTCATGTTGTGGACAAGGCAAATAACTGAATACTATATATGAAATTCACATTGCTTCCTTTTGTTTCTAGCCCACTGAATTCCAACCCTTTCAGTAAGCAGTTGCAGAAATACACAAAGAATTGTGTTGTTTTTGTGGAAGAAGCAGCTTTAGACAGTTTCAGACCTGGCTGCCGTTCTGCCTGTCTGGTTTTGCTCCAGAAGGTGATCTATTACATTGGAATTGAAGTGCCCTGGGGAAGTCGGGCAGATACTAAATTTTAGGACTTTTTACGTATTTTTTCAAGGCATCATGCCTTCCCAAAGCTGAAAATGAGCACCTTGGATGCTGCTTTGAAGCTGAGCAGTGTGAGGCACTGATGATCTAAGGCAAATTTTGGTGAGCCCTCTTCATTCAAAGTTTATCGATAGTTTCTCTGTGTCATGGGGAGACCTGTTTGGCTGTAACCCAAGCTGAGCATTACGTGCTGTTGCTCATGCAAGTGAAATACTCAGTTCTGTTGTAACGATTTTGCAGTCTTCACTGTATGAAGATATATATCTAATGGCTAAAGAAAATTATTTGTGACTCTACACTGAAGCAGAGGAACAGATATGAGAGAGAGAAATTTAGAATTTCATACACCATCTGTGTCTTTTCCTTTTTAATTCTAAAGGCAATTTAAATGTCACCTTCTTCACTCTGCTATTAACAGTAGTCTCCTTCATGGAAACAGACAACTTAATCAAGAAAATACTGTATTTCAGAGAAACTGAGGGGGGAAAAAAGCCCCAAACCTATTACAGGAGCTTTTCCATCAAGACACCTCTTATTAAACTCTTGACTTGGAACATCTGTCTCCTCAGTTCTTCAGAATGCCTTGTACTGTACTTGTTGAACTGTGTTATGGTAAGCTGAGACATGGGATTAGTTTCCTATTAGAAAGTCAGAAGATCAAGCTGACCATCTGTAAGATAAACATTAGCATGGGATGGCTGGAAGCAGTGAGAAAAAATACTGAAAATGAAACCTGAATTAAACTGGCAAGACCTCTCTTCACATTGCACTGCTGATATGAAGAGTACAACAAAGCTAAAACCGACCACATGAGCCTACCAACTTCAGACGTGGTCTTTCCTAGCTGTAAAGCATAAAGCGTCCAACCTTGCATGTCTCTGTTAAGTGAATAAGGAAGAATGAGCCAGATTTAATGGAAGCACGGTTCTGCATAACAATACTTGTTAAAAGAGTGTAGAGAGTTAATTAAAAATGATGGTTATCCTACAGACCTAGATTCAGGGTTTTGCCTCTCTTCTCTTTGAAGGAATGAGGGCCGCTACACTACAATGCTTCAAGCCACTGCAGTCTTGTGCGCCTTTGGAAGGGACCAAACAAAAAATGACAAAAATGGAATTAGCAAATGGGGTCTTACAAAACGTTGGCACATTCTTGAGGCAAAGATGAAAAACGAAGCAAGAGAGCAAAGAAGTAAATCAGCAGACGTCGAAAGAAGCAAGTGAGAATGCGGTAGTATATTCTTTAAGGTGAAGGAAGGTGTTTGATTTTTATGACTTTTTTTGGGTATTACCTTGTTAAATCCTGCTTCACTTTCTATAGTTCCAATTATATTGGCTCACCACACTGAGCAACAACAGGGACTTCTGCTGCCTGGCCTCATTTATAATGAGCTGTCTCTGAGGGTTTCACAGACCATTTGTCACCTACAAAGGAAACATGTTTCAGAATGAAGCTCCCCGCATTGGGCTTAATAAAAAATACAAATACAGGCATTTATCTGTGCCAGAGCAACACGTTTGATTCGTTTGCAGAGTTTAGGGTCGAAGAATGCACGTCAGAGAAGCAAAATCTGCTGTATCAAGAAGCACACGTAACTGGAGAAGGCAGCTGCCAGGACACAGCCCTGAGTGATGTTAGGCTGCCTTGAGAAGGGCTTTCTTCCAGTGACCACAAAAGCATCAGGGCTGTCTCTTTTCAAGTAACTACCCATGTGATGCAGTGAGATTGATTACCTCATTTCTAAATCCTCTGAGAAGTCTTAAATGCACGGGAAACACCCCTTCCTCCTTAAACTCCTCTAAGTAAGTTGTGAACTCCTGCATACCTATAATTTGGAGACATGCTTTAAGTGCCTGGTGTGGAAATGGAGATGCATGATTAGGAGAGCACTGCAGAAATGCATTGTTATTTACCTATCAACAGCTTTTTGACATCTCATCTGTTCAACAGAAGCAGCTGATCTCAAATACTTTTCAAAATGAAAGCCATTCCGACCTGCCAAAACCCCCCAAAACACAGCTGTAACAAAATAAGAGCCTTGAACAGCTATTTGTAAAATATGCTCCTTAAAAAGACTCCAATGTCATGGGAGCTTTCAAACTGCACTTTAACTAAATCATTTCTCCTGAAGCTGAATATATTTCAGTCTCCTACTATGAAAAACAGTGACAGACCAGGCGAGGTTTCTGAATGCAGATGCATTTAAGCTCCAAAACCCTTTACTGAACCACTCAAAAAAACAATTTTAAGCAGTGCTCATCAACTTAGTAGGCACGCCTATATCAAAGCAAATAATAATGGAGTCCATAAATTACGTAGATGCTTTGTATGTTCAATTTTAGGGCTTCAATTCTACAGATTCTACCTCCAAAGATTTATAACGCTACAACTGGCATTTAGGGTTGAAAACTAAATTGTTGAGAATCTCAAGACCACAGGAAACCGGGAAAGATGACATAATTCCTTTGTCCAAGCTCTGAGCAGCGCTCCCACGGAAGTAGAAGTATATGGATATATATAAAATCAGAACAGAAGAAACCAGAACCCCCCAAAAAATCCACACAGAGTAACCACAAATAAGAAGCACATTTTGAACAAGCAAGGCAAAGACCTCTTATCCCTGATATCAGCACTTGTGCCCAGCTGAGGCATCTGCCCTATCAGTCACAGTTCAGAGCTGTGGAGGAGTCACCAGAGGATGGCTCTCGCACAATGCAGGTGAACATGAGCTTCACAGTGGTCCCACCTGTGAGACTGGGCTCTCCAGCTGGGAACAAGTGGTTCATTTTTGTCTAACCACTGGTAAATTAAATGCCACAGCAAGAAGAAAGGCCAATGGAATGGGAAAGAGAAGGAAAAGTGCATAAAATACTACCAGAAATAGACCTCATAGCAGCCCTCCAGTATCTGAAGGGGGCCTATAGAGATGCTGGGGAGGGACTCTTCATTAGGGACTGTAGTGACAGGACAAGGGGTAACGGGTTAAAACTCAAACAGGGGAAGTTTAGATTGGATATAAGGAGGAAATTCTTTCCTGTGAGGGTGGTGAGGCACTGGAATGGGTTGCCCAGGGAGGTTGTGAATGCTCCATCCCTGGTGGTGTTCAAGGCCAGGTTGACCGAAGCCTTGGGTGAGATGGTTTAGTGTGAGGTGTCCCTGCCCATGGCAGGGGGTTGAATCTTAAGGTCCTTTCCAACCCTAACTATTCTATGATTCTATAAATCAGACCTACAGCTCCCTTTATACAGGAGATTAACTGCCTGCTTCAGTTCATGCTAGGATGACTTTCCGTTCTCAAAAATGAATAACAAAGTAAACAGGGGCCCTGCTTTAGCTCTTATGATTCATACCCGGGAGCACTGCAAGGATTTTCTTCCTCCCATCCTTTCTCCCCAGACAGCGTTGAGGCCGAGGCAAGAACAATTGTCTTTTTCTTTCCGAAAAGTCAAACTAACAGATGGATCTGGCCAAGAGGAGAAGGTAGTTATCCAGACATATAGACCGGAGCTGCATGTAGCGGGTAGAACCAGAAATACGGAGACTTAAACTTATCAATGTATTCCCAGAGACCTGTGTAATAATAGCAGTCGAGAGCTTTTATAGCTACACAAATCTGTCAAACAATCCTTAAGTGATATTTCAGGAGGGAATTGGGCAAAAAGCTTTTTAGAGACAGTCGGGAGAATTCTGTCATGCCGGCTCTATTTGATACTGCTTTTAAATACTGCAACAGCACCTCTGCGCCCAAGGTAGAAGAGGGAGCATCAGGCAAACCTAAGCTGACGTACAAAAGACAGCAACCCTTCTGAGGCAGCCAAAAGCCCCTCCCTAAAAGCACACTTCTGACGGTCGTGCAGGATGAGGAGACTTGCATCACCCAGCTCTGCTTCTTGCCAAGAGACTCGAACTGGGAGAAAACCCCTCTGAAACAGAAGTTCATTTTTCAAAGTGACAAATTCATGTTCATTTTGAGAAAAATCACTGCCTCAAAACAGAGCCTAATTACTTGCAGCCCCCAGCACAGAACCGGGGCTTAACGACCCTAACCAAAGCAGAGTAGCGTGTTTTATTTATAAGAATGCCGTACTAAGGTTGTTTATTACTCTTGAATTGTTATGAGAAGGCTCAGGTCTTATTCACACCGTGCATATTTATAATACACACTGGAATCAAGGAATTTTACAAAAAAGCAGATTACAGTTTTTAACACATTGCTTTAACTTGGACACTCCAAGGGTCCCACCGAATTTGCATGCATATATAGGCACATTTTACTTGTAATTTACAACATTTGTGTTTGTCTTTCCTTTTTCCTTTCCTTGATACTGCAACAGAAATGGCTTGAATTCACACTGCAAAAGCGTTGTGGGAAAAGGGGGGTCCTTTCTTTCTGGTCTTCACCTTTCTCTTCTCTTGGCTTGGGGTACAAACTGGCTGCCCTTTAGGATGAATTGGCTTCAACATCACTCAGCAGCCAACTGCCCATTCAGGCTTTTACTTGCTTATCCCAGCCCTTCTGCTTAAATTTAACACTGCTCAGGTCAAAAATAAACTGCCTGACCTTGCTTAGATCCCAGTTTAGCTTTTGAATTGCTAATATCCATCTACACAAAATACGGCTCTTCAGAGGTGTCATGGCATTTACTGATCTTTGTTCACACATGTATTCCTAGACAAAGTGACAGCTGCACAGCAAGTACATCAGTTATTCGGTTACCATTTATGCTCAGCATGCAAAAAATCTCCAGAAATTGCCACTGGTACTGGTTTTGACCAGTGTCCTCTCCCTGTGCTCCACTTCTACTTTACCAAACAGATTTAATGGATTAGCAGTGACATTCAGTAAGAAAAAAAGGCCATGTAAAACAAGAACCAATGAAACCATGCTTGTCTGGCCCATGGGGTTAAGACATATTGCTGTCTCCTTCCAACATTCAAATAGACTATACTGCATGGATGTCACCAAGGAGTTTAATTCCCAGTAAAACACTGCTTATCATGAGTTGCCCTTGTTACTTCTAAAGGCACACCTACCATACCTACTGCACCAGCTTCAAACCCAAGGAAAACCAGCTGGAACCCAAAGCATTTTGAGCAGTGAATAAAGCAAGAACCTAAAAATGTATTGCAGATGAGAGGAAGGGAAAGCCTTTGGAGTCTGGAAGAGTAACAGAGACGATACCTCTGCTTTTAGCTTGCCCAGGCAAAAAATCCAACTTGAAAAGGCAAATTTAACTAAAAGTAGCAATTTTTTAGGAGGATGACTTAGGGAAAAAGAAGAACAAATTGGTTCTTTTTTAGGTCTCCCACAATAGAGAGTACCCTGGAATGAAATTTTAGGTATCCCAAATGCTGGTGAATGTCTTTTTACCAACCAACAATCGTTGTTTCCTTTAAAGCACATATAAACCAGATTTTATTGTGGCTCCTTTTTGGGTTGTAATTTTTCATGCATTCTGCTCACACAGCTGTTGTTATAAATGAAATATCCACCCTATCTTCTGTTCTCTGCATCTATTCCAAATATTTGATAGTTCTTTGACTTTCTTAATTTTCTACATAGTGAAAAATGGACAGGCTCTTAGTTTTATATTTTTTAAATACTTGACATGTTTCCAGTTTAATGGCCATTGCCAAGCTGTGTTTGGAAAGAATTTGATCACTGACAATGAAGGGCTGTAAATATGAAAGAGAAAATAAAAGCAAACACAAGAAAACAATTATAAACCTATCCTCTCTGGTAACAAAGAAAGTCAGGGACTTCTGGGTACTGGCAAGTGACTATGAGCCACAAAAGAACTTCCAGCTGCAATCGTGAAGATGAAAAGTCCAAGCACTTTGTTTAGAAAGAAGATAAGTAGAGTTTAAAAGATAACTGAGGTAGCTTTAGATTTCAGGTGTTCTGCCAGAGAACACAAAGCCACAGGTGTGCTGAGGAGGAGACAAAAGGGTTTAGCATGCCTACAGAATACTTCAGGATACTAGTACCCACAGGAGGCATTCACAGGTTTATCCTAGATCTACTCTGAAGGGGATCTGGACATGGAATAAAATCATAGAATCATAGAACAGTTAGGGTTGGAAAGGACCTTAAGATCATCCAGTTCCACCCCCCCTGCCATGGGCAGGGACACCTCACACTAAACCATGGCATCCAAGGCTCTGTCCAACCTGGCCTTGAACACCGCCAGGGATGGAGCATTCACAACCTCCCTGGGCAACCCATTCCAGTGCCTCACCACCCTAACAGGAAAGAATTTCCTCCTTATATCCAATCTAAACTTTCCCTGTTTAAGTTTGAACCCGTTACCCCTTGTCCTATCACTACAGTCCCTAACGAAGAGTCCCTCCCCAGCATCATTACAGGCCCCCTTCAGATACTGGAAGGCTGCTATGAGGTCTCCACGCAGCCTTCTCTTCTGCAATCCAGGTTCTCTATATTCTTTTCACTTTCCATCAGAGTACACCAAGTGATAAAACTGTTCCCAAGAGCAGGGATTATGAGCCAAACTGTTGTAATAGAAAACAGTGAAGAAGCAAGTAGAGGCTGAACTCAGAAACCAGTGCAGGCAAATACTATCTGAAATTGAACAGAAAATAGTCCTCTTGGAAAGAAACAGTTTTATAGTCTATCAGCATCCCTTTGTGCTGCACAATTGCTCTCCTGAGTGGCTCAGCTACACTCAGGGGCTCCAGAAAACCTCCTTTGACATAGATTTGCTTTAATATGCCAGGAACAAAGGAATTTTTTTCTCCAATGTTTTTAAGAAAAGGAACCAGCATTTTAGGCGTTGATTTCATTTATGCACTGCAACCATCCCATGGTGTTTTTTTTCCCTGTTTCTTAAATGGATGAACCATTCTTTCCATAGTTTGCATCTTGCCTTTCTTTCTCTTCAAGCTCCTGACAAGTTCTTTCTGCAGTTTCCTGGTTCTATAGTCATACAGCTTGAGCAGGTGATTTGGTCAGGCGAAGGGATAAGAAAATCAACTTGATTTTGCATCGGGTAAAACAGAGTGAGTTACATCCTCCTGTAAAACAGAAAATTGTCTGGATCTCATGCTGCTTGCAAAGCTGGCCCTTATTCTGAAAGCTGACTTGGTGCTTCTGCTTAATGTTTGCACACTGGAAGCTGAATCTGAGTAAATTTAAAAGGCTGGTAAGCCTTTGCTCCCACTGTTTGGTAGAGGAGATGGAGCTGAAAGCAACAGCAGGATGCCCTGAGGCTGGCCTCTTGAAGGAGCTTACTTTCCACAAAGGCAAAATAAAAGGCAAAAACAGTTCTGTGAGATAAGAAAAATGAAGAAAAAAAATACCCTTGGCTTTGACAAGTAGAAGTAAAATAAAGAGTAGAACATAGTCAGAAATGGCAAACTCCTTCCAAATACAACAGTGTGAACGCTGTCAAAATGAGGGTTTAGAAAGTAATTTAGGTTCAGTGGTTAGCAATGATTTTCCTACCTGCATCTGCTGCTGCTTCTCCTCTTCAATGCTTTTATTAATTTGGCAAAATTGTATGTTTCCAGAGGGAAGAAGCCTTGCTGTTATCACCCCCTGGAGAAACTACAGAGAGAGTTCCAGTCTGTGTGCATGCAAAGAGATAAAAGACTGTGGAAAGAAGTAAATGGGAAAAAACATTGATTTGTTGTTTCCCACAGCACAACTAAGTTAAAACATAAGAAAATATAAAGAATGTGGCACATGTAAATGTAGGGAAGTATAATCAGCCCAATTGCTTAAAACCCTGTCTTGGAGGAGTGATAGAATAGCTACTAAACGCTTCCTCCTTGGTAACAATAAATATGTAATTAACAGCAAACTGTTCTGTTGATCTTTTATATTGTTTAATGCTGCCAGTGGGATACATTTCAAAAACCTTTCATTCAGCTTCTTCTTAACAGGGTTTGGAACAATTTACATGAAAAATAAACTGGGTACTTTTCCAAAAGCATGCCATTGTTGGTTTTCTGCAGGAATACCCTGGGTCCTATAAAGCAGGTGTTGCTGTAGCATGTTGGAAATGAAAGGCAACATTTCAGAGTCTGTTTAAGAGATATGTATGCTACAGTGCCTCGCTGAGTTCATGCAAGAGAGCTTCTTTCTGATGCTTTAATTGGCACTTAGCTTCTTTTACAGCTTGTTCGCCTAGACAGCCTCCACGAAGCAGTCACTTAAAGCGTAGCTTGGAGTATTATAAAACACATCTTTACAGGAAATAAGAACATCTATTTGATAATTGCCATGACAACTCGGCCATGTTAGATTTAAAACCCATTAGTTTTGTATCTGTGAGATGCCGAGTGCTTTTCCACTTCTGGGCATTCACAGCAACGAGGAGTGTTTGCTAAACCACTGGAGAGACCTTTGTCAATGTGAGCTGCTTGAGGCTGAACTTGGCTGCAGCCGCTGTGGATAGCACAGAAGCTGTGGGAAGCAGGGGCATCATCACCTGGGAAAGCTCACCCTCAGACTACACACAACTAGAACAGAAATTAGTCAGAGGTTTATTGGACTGAGAGATATATTCCACACACTCACATTACGAGACAGGTCACAATAACCCCATTTGGAATGAGAAAATGCTCTTCAGTTGCAGACCTACAGGTGCAGGAAGAGCAGTGAATAATGCAGCCTCCAACAATCAGAAAATACTTGGTAACAAACCCAAAACATGGCTTAGGAGCATGCTGACTGCTGAATCTTCTTGAGAAAAGCAAGGATGAGAGGATGGCAGGCTTGAAGGTGTACAGATGAAAAGACGTCTGCCTCCTACAGAAAGGATTTCATAGCTTTCCAGATGGCCAGGGAATAATTAAAATGTAATCTCATTCACTTCAGAGCAAGTGCTTTGCAATTCTCTCTTCTAGGAAGATTGCAATTCGATTCTTTGGTACAATTTTCCAGTGACAACGTGTTTGCAATTAGGACGCTTGCATTTGGAGGAGACGTGGGGTTCTTTTGGTTGGTTGCTTGGTTGGTCTGGTTTCTTTAAAGGGAAGAGAAAAGTGATGGGGAAAGAAAGAAGGAAATAAACATTCTTTCACAGAAAGGCGAATTTCCTTCTTTCAAAGCAGTTTTTCACTGCTGCCTTTAAAATTCAGGTCCATCGCCATGGAGAAATCAGTTGATCAAATTGGAAAATTTACATATTCTAAAACTGAAGATATTCAGAAGAACTGCATGCATTACAAACCTAACATATTTAGTAAATTTGCATTCTGGTGTTTATACTTTCCCCTGAACCACTCTCTCTCTACTCCTCTCACACTTACCAGTCCCAAAAGCAATCACTGCGGTCTCCCTTGCTAAGCAAGTCTTTGCTTTAAAATAAGGTATCTCTAAATAGGGATCACTCATCACTGCTGATGCTGGTTTTAAACAGTCTTAAGAGTCTGCAAGTATAGAGAATGTTTATGAAGAAAGTTTGAAGTTACACAATAAAATACTACTGATTTTCATTGGCAAATAAGCTTAGCCTTAGCTAGCCTTTGTAAACCACAAACACATACTGAACAGCAATACTGCCATGCACACAGTACAGAAAATTAGTGCCAACAGATTGATACAGCATACCAATCTTCAGCTGGTTTTTTGCTGTTTAACTTCACTCACTGGAGCTCTTTATAATGATGATTGGGATGGATATAGGCTGTGAAAGAGAACACAGCAAATCATTATAACCTTCTCTTTGAAGGGTGCATTTTACACACCTCTTTAGACATTTACAAGCACATATAATGTTTCTTCATACATTAAGGGCTGTGCAATGGATTACTGCAGTTTTGATTCATTTACCTTCTAACAAAGCACTAACACATTGCTCTACAATGCGCAGCACCATCTATAACATTAAACAAGTTTCTCAAGAAATGATCTGCTATTCAAAACCAATGTAAAATGTAAAGTTTCTTCTCATCTTTGCAGTACTGTTTTCAAATGGAGGACTTACTTGGCTTGGAATGACACGGGACTATAGCAAAAGAATTGTAATGTCTGTATTCAAACTATCCAGCATGCATACCTAGCAGATATCATAAAGAAATACACCACAGCCACAGGCTGTGATTCAAAGACCCTGATCTGATTCATACAAATGAATTTGCTAACTGAACCTAACAACTCAACTGATTAGACAAACAAAGTGGCTTGGATAACACCAGTGTTGATAATAACATTCTACAAATGGGACAGCTGTATTCCATGCTGCAAGTGGATGTACAATTGCAGATCGTTAGAGATCATGGAAAAGCTTGTACAGCAGCCAATGAGAAAAAGCAGGTATTTAATGAAATGGTCTCTCTTTTCTTGTTCTTTTTTATACCCGTGATTTCTAGCTGATACACACCTTAGCTAAGAGACAATTCAATGTATAAGGTAAACTGCTGAGCAGGACAGAAGCTGCTGGACATCTGAACTGTGAAGGTGGCAGCACAGGCTAACCAAAAGAGGCACTAATGCTGAAAGTGAAGCCTCCTTCCCCTATCCCTCTGACCTGCCCCCTTAAATCCCTCCTGCCCCTGGGAAGTGCATTGTGCCCAAGGGACCGGGCAAAGATGAAGGACCAAGGCTGGAAACACTGCAGCAGCCTTGCTCTGCACCTAGGGATGAGACAGTGCACAGGCAGTGGTATCGAAGTGGCAGAAAAGGAGACTACGATGGTCATTAGAAACTCCAACAAAAAGTGAAATGTAAAGAGAAAGGTTGGGAACTGCTAGTTTCTATCATGCATTGCGAAAGGATATCAGCAGCCCCCATCAAAGAAGCTCTTGGAACTAAGAGGAGACAAGCCAAAATCTGCAATGTTTCCAATTCCTGCTTGAAATATTTAGCTGCAACCAAAGAGAACCAGAAAGCACTCAAGCTGCTCAAGGGAGAACACTAAGATGAAAGAAGATATCATTAATATAATTTTGCATACGGGAGATAAGTACAAGACAGCTCTTGTTCTAAAAAGAAACAGTAATTTTGTGATCTTTAAAATTAATTTTGAAACTCTCCTTCCTTTTACAGAAAGCTTTCCTGGGAAAACTGGAATGGGAAAGGGGTTTGGAATTAAAAATGATTTGAGATGATGAGACAATGCTCAAATGGTGCTGTAACATTTGAAGAGTGAATTAGCCTCATTACCAGGCTCTTTATTTTATTTTTGCCTTCACTGGCACTGAATTTTAAGAGCGGTTTTGCAAAAAATCATCAGAAATAGTGTTCTGTTCTTTAAAAAGCTGTCATTGACACTATAAAGCCCAAACTACTCACGAACGTGAAAACTAACAGTTGCCGGTGGCTTTGATATGATTCTAAATTTGGAAAGATTGATGAGATGATTTAATGAATTCTTGATTGCTCCAACGAGTCCGTTTCAAACCAGAAACTAGCAAAATAAGCAAAATGTGCTAAGCTCAAGATTACTCTTTCCCAAAGCCCAATATTTTAAAGTTGAGCCTGAACGCATTTTGCGTTCTTTTGAGCAGTAGAAAACAACCATCCTAGAGCTGACGCCTGCACGTTAGAAACAGAGACTGCTTACTTTTCCCACCTAGCAGGCTGAGCACAGAACTTGAGGTTCCTTTTTATGCGCAATTTCAAAATGATGCAAAATGCCAACTCGCATAAGATGATAAATATGTGCCGCGGTGGGAACCCAAAGTTACACTCGTCAGTGCACCCGCAACGGTGCATCATGGTCAAGGCAGAATTGAAACAGATGTTACAGCTCCACCTACTGAACCAAGAAGAAAGGATTGGAAAGGGTATAATTAGTTGTTATAATGAACTGGAGCAACTTAGGATCTATGCGCACCCCAAAACGTAGTTCTTTGGGTTTGTTTTTTGACACAGCCATCTGATCAGCACTTGCACTCCTACTCAAGATCAGGTAGTGTCAGATAGAGTAAGCCATATGAAAGACGTGGGAGGCAATCAGCTTGCCCTGTTCAAAGCAGCAACCTGTTTTTGAAACTTGCCTGAATTGTATTGGGCTCATTTCTGCATTTACTTACAGTCATTGACTAGCATGAAAATCAAATTCTGTCTCCACAGCTTTCACTTCAGAAGGATGCTGCCACACAGGGGGTTTTGATGAAGCAACAGATGCCCTGTCTATTCAAAGACCATGAAATGAATAAGTATTTTGCAGCCCTTTAGTTCCATTTGTTGGTGTATGACAAAAAATAAAGAAAAGGTTGGTCAATGTGAAAGTCACGTTAGGCTGGAGGAATATTTGGGAGGTTAAAAAGAAAAAATCAATCTTGTAAAGGAAGATAATCATACAGCTACAGTTTTACCAAACAAACTCTACTCTTTGACCTAATGACTGTAAGTGTGAGTCAAGTATGCTATTTCAATGAATGGGGGTCTCATATATATGCCTTGTTGGTTCAAAGAGTGGCTCAGAGCTAGAAATTCTGGTTATTGCAGAAGCCCTTAAGACTTGGCAGATCAGCCAAGTATTTCCTACACACTGGGACCAAGGTGACAAGGGAGAAATAGCTGAAAGATGCTGAAGTGAAACCTCTTAATCAAAAACTAGTGTTTAACACTTACTGAGAAAAGCACAAAGGAATATGGCAATAGAGAATAATAGAG